ATCAAAAAAACACTGATAAAAGCATATATACCCGCACTTTATTGGTATTTAAATAGTATATGTTTATGTTGAACTTGATTCTTGAACAGATGGCGCTGTATTAAGCAGTATATAAAAAGTGTTTCTGTTGCTCATGAAAACGTTTCTGAAATGTCTGTGTATTTGACAGATATTGCATTTTATTCACTTAATCTGTGATAGAGTGTGCGAACACCGCGAGAGCGTCACTACCGGGAGCAGAAAGTGTCCGACTTGACGTCTCCGCTTTCAATTCTGCCCCCGACTGCAAGCGGCTACTCTCACCGATCAGTCTGCGCAGCACTGCATGAAGTCGAACACACCTAACGACTGCTCCCAAGATTGGAAACTTTACATATGAACAGTGATTAGTTATGAAAAATATTTGCTGCATATTTAAATGACAGTTTGTCTGTGGGTAGAAACTATATAAGAATTATATAATCATTATACAGGACAGTAGTACATCTGATATATGAAAATTTGTTTTTATATAATATTTTTATTATTAATATTTCTGTATTTTTTAAATGTAATAATATTTTTAAATGTAATAATATAAAAATTCATAAAATAAACATGTCAGATTATTTAATAAATCAATAAATAAAAATGTATGTTGTTTAAATCAGTCAAGTTTAACACATAGTGTCATTATTTGAGTAAGTAGATAGTAATATTAAATGTTCATTAGTAAGTAATTATTTCTTGGCGCTGCTTACACATCATTCTTATTCACACTGTAATTATATTTATAAAGACATTCAATGTCTTTAATATAGAGACTTGGGGTAAAATGCTTTTCAGATGTCAAACCGGATGTCATTTTCTTTTCTTTATTTTTGTTTGAGAAAAAAAATGAGTAAATTTGTCTTGCCTTTTACACAGGACTAATATAAACAACAGCATATTCCACATTCAGAAAAAAGTAAATTTACCTGCTGTATGAAAGTATTTTTGCCATTTTCCAACACCTTTCCCTTTTTTCCCCTTCATAGCACTCTAATCCTGGGCATGCTGGGCCCTTCCCTGTGGCGTCGCTACACAACATTAGTGCTGCCAACCCCACCAGTCCCACCAGTGCCAGTATGGCCAATGCCCACATTCACCGTGGCCCCACTAGTCCTGTTGTCGCCCCCATAGAGCTCATACCATCAGTCACTAACCCCGAAAACTTGCCCTGCCTGCCTGACATCCCTCCCATTCAGGTAACTTTACTATTGCATTTTCTTAGACTAAATGTCAGATGATTAGATGTTGTGGTATGATTTAGTGGTTATACTCTTATTGGTTATAGATCTGGCCTGGTAACCCAAAGGTTGTAAGTTCAAACCCCAGAAAGCATGATCATGAGGATACAAATCTAATAATTGGGTGGAAATGTAATAAAGGAACTAAATATAATAACTTTTGAGTCTAAATGCAATAAAGGATCTAAACATAATTACGTTAAGGCAACGAGACAAAGACAATCCCTATGCTTGGATCTTCAATTATTGTTCTTCACATAACAGACGCTTCCTTAACTGAAGCAAAATGAAACAAAGCTGAACTGATTTAGAGCTCACGTGTTGCAAAAACAATTTTTGTTTTTGTAATTTTCAGCTTGAAGATGCCGGCTCGAGCACACTGGATAACATACTCAGTCGATATATTTCTGCTAGTTCATATCTTGCTGTTGGCCCCACCAATCCCTCACCGGGACCTTCTACACATTCCCCAGGATCATCAGGTACTTTCTTGGTGAATTTTTGACATGAATTGTTTGGCTTCCAAATGTTCATATCAGTTAGCAAGCATTTAAATAATGTCAAGAAATATTCATGCAGATTAGCATTTGGTATGTACAATATTTATATGCTTAAATATGCCATACTCTCAGTGCTGTATGCATAAACTCCTGCCCAACCGACCCGGGTTCCAAGGCTGTGCTAGTTACCTGGCACCGTTAATGCCTGCTCAGTGCCTCTGGTTCCGTATGGCAAAGTCCCCCATCCAACCATATGCACCAACCCTGGGGCTCAGGCTGCATTAGCCCCCTAGCATTAGTGCCATATGCTGCTTCACCACACAACCTCATGTGCCAATATCACCAACAACTTCAGCTAGCATATATATATATATGCATTTCACCATTATTGTCCTGATCACAATTATTTGAAATGACCATGATTGCTGTGCACCAGAGTTATTGTTAACTAAAACTATTGAAAATCATTTTCAGTAATTGAAGTAAAATAACATAATTATTGGATGAAAAAAAAACTGAAATAAGTTTAAGTAGAAGTACAAAAAAATGCTAAAACTGCTAAAAATAGCTGCAAAATAAATAAATAAAAGAAAATGACAAAGCACAACAAATTTACTGAAATTGATATAAAAACTGAAAATATAAAAACAAAAGCAAATTTACAATAGTAATAAATACCGTTATATTACAGAAATATTAACACTGTTGTGCACTTTATGTTCCAAATAAGGACATTTTAAGGGAAAATTGGTTGATAACCGGTAATGTTTTACTTTTTCAAATTAAGCCAACCCACACAGAAGATTTAAAGGAAATGTTTTAAACATTTTTAATATTTAAAATATTATTCATATCATTTTTTTTTTTTTTTTTACAAAGCCTTAAATTAAATCATATATTTGTAAATGATTTATATGATTCAAAGTGAATACGTAAGTTCGTTAAATGCAATTTCTTATGACACTTAATTAATCCAGAATTTCATGGTCATGTTAGCAATAAGCGTCGGAATATATTAAGTTGATTATTTAGCAGTTTTACAAAATTCTAATTAATTCTGCATTTTGTGGCTCTTGGAAATCGACAGAATATGCATTATTAAAACTTAGACTCTTGTATAATTCAAGTTGGTTTTTGCCCTCAGCTATAACAGTGTCTGCTAACTTGTTAATTTTCTAAAGATTTAATTATTTTAACACTCTCTCTAGGTTTATCTAATTCTCACACTCCAGTTCGTCCATCCAGCACGTCAAGCACAGGCAGTCGGGGCAGGTCAGCATTTGCATTCTTTACCTCACAGTCATTTATGGTTTAAAGACATTGTTGTTTCTGTTCTTGAAGTAATATTACTTGCAGTAATATCACCAGTTGTTAATTATAGCTTAGAAACTGTGTATCCGAACGAAGAGAAATTGCATGAAAAATTATTTGTGTCTTCTGTGTTTGCTTATGTGTGTGTGTTTAGTTGTGGGTCAGCTGGTAGACCTGGAACAGGGAACACGACAGTGGATCAGGTGAAGGTCAAACAGGAACCGGGAGTTGAGGAAGAATGTAGCTATTCTGGAGCAAACGTCAAAACAGAACATTCTAAAGATGGCAGACGGAGTGCTTGCATGGTATTTACCTTCAGCTTACAGTTTCTTTCCCTTATTTAACCACTTTGGACCCTTTTTTATTGTGAGACAGCACAGTTTTGGTATATGCAGTTACACTTTATTTTGTGTTCTTGTAACAGTATAATCACACAAATAAGCACAGAGTAATTTTAATTAACATGTACCTACAATAGGATTACATATAGGGTTTGGTTTAGGGTTTGTTGCTTGTAATTATGCACTAGATTACTAAGTAAATACATGTAACGTGTGACAAGGATACTGTAAAAGAGATTATTTGCAAGGAAAATTAGCCAAAAACGTAGCCTAAGTTAATTGAGAATGAAAGCATGACTTTTGCCTGTATTATCTTCCTTCATGCCCTTTACAATAAAATCTGAATAACAAGTTTCTTTTTCCCTTCTGGGTCCCAAGAGATACAGTTTAATATAGTTTGTTTCATATTGTACAATGTCTGTCTTTTGTTGTTCTTCTTCTTCCTCAAACCAGATGAGCAGCCCAGAAGGAAGCGTGACTCCCCCTCTTCCCGTCCTCGGCTCCGTGTCCACCGGTTCAGTCCAGGACATTTTAAGAACACTTGGTGAAAATATTAAATCTGAACCACAGAGCAATCAGCTCTCATCCTGTACGAACCCAAACTCCAGCGCACCTTTAACCAATGGGACCACCGAGTCAAATGGTAGTCAGCAGGGGAACACCGCTAACGCCAACAACCAGACCACTGTAGGAAAAGAAGACGACCCGAATGAGGACTGGTGTGGCGTGTGTCAGAATGGAGGTGAACTGCTGTGCTGTGATCGCTGTCCTAAAGTCTTCCACATGACCTGCCATATCCCAACACTCAAATCTTCTCCCAGGTAAAGAATGTGGCTTTATTTATACAGATGATGCAACGCATTCAGTTTGGCCTTAATGGTGTTATTCTGTAGTACATCTGAGCTGGTACCCGAAAGGTTTTAGGTTTGAACCCTACAAGGTGCAAACCGTGAACTATTAGCAATGTGTTCTTGAGCACGATGGAGACTGTAAGCTGATTGTATTTATTTACATCTTTTCATTTACTTATCATAAGTGACTAGTATTTTATTTTATTTTAAGATGTCATCTGTAGCATTTCTAATTATAAATAACTAGTTTATTTGTATTTTTTAAATGATTTATTATTATTAAATTAATTATTTTAGTTTTATTTTAAAATTATTTTATTTTAATGTATTTTATTATTTATTTTTGAATTATTAATTTATGTATTCAGTGTATTTTTAATTAATTAAATTATTATTATTATTATTATTTGGTTTTTAAAATGCCACCAACGGCATATTATTTTATTTAAAATTTTACATGCCATGATAGCATTTCTATTCATAAATGACTAGTGTTATTTTATTGTATTTTATTTGGAACACCAATGACAAATTGTCATAATTTTCTAAGATTCTACCAGTAGCATTTCAAAACACATAATCTGTCTTAGCAATCGAGTTGGCGCATATGGTGGAATGAAACCAAGGGTACTGACCACACATTTACAGGCCAATGGGGTTAGCATAGCCTTAGTCCCCTGGTTGGTATAATATAAATTTTAATTGTAAATTTAAAATTAATTTAATTAATTATTTTATTTTCCTTTTTGCACAACTTGTTATATCTTGCACTTATACTTAACTCAGGTAAACAAAATGAGTACAGAAATAAATAACTGGCCAATTTGTTTAGCCAGTCATAACAGAGAGGTCATTTACATATTGTGGTCATAAAAGTTCAGTAGCATAGCAGCTTGTAGGTCAGCGAGAGGGTGGAAAATATTCTTGAAAACCTAAATTACGACTGTTTGTGGTGCCAGAAACTTTGACTAATATTTCATATTTAGGATAAACAAGCATTTATGATCTGTTCCCTTTAGGTTTTAAGACTTTAATTCCTGATTTTTGTGTGTTAAATTATGTGTTGTACCTTCTTTCTGCTGCAGTGGAGATTGGATGTGCACCTTCTGCAGAAGTCTCACAAATCCAGAGATGGAATACAACTGTGATGACGATCCACCTAGTAAGAAGGACAAGAGTGAGATGGCAATGAGTCCGGAGGACCAGAGAGTGAGTCACACTGAGAATCAAGTCAAGTCACCTTTTCTGTCAATATGGGGTGCTGTGTGTACATTAATGAGGAAAAAAAATTAACTTAAATTATTTTAGCAAATGGCTGCAATATAACAAAGAGTGAAAAATTTAAGGGGGTCTGAATACTTTCCGTACCCACTGTATATAGTGCTTCATACAATACAGATCTAGTTGACATGGTCTGCGCTGACATTCAGGGCTGCAGAGGTCATCTTTAGGTGCTGATCCACCATCTGGTCTGAATATGGACTGGATCTGGGTGGCTACAGTGACCTCGGAATATTAGCGTCGATGTCATTCTTCTTACGGTGTAACGAGTACATCGGGTGTTATGGGAAGTGTTCCTGGTTCCGGTTGACCTAATTAATGCAGCCTAACAATCCTTTAACAGATTTGAATTATAGAAATGTGATAGTGTGTTATGTGTAAGCCAGGTTAAAGAGATGGGTCTTTAATCTAGATTTAAACTGACAGAGTGTGTCTGCCTCCCGAACAAGGCTAGGTAGATTGTTCCAGAGTTTGGGTGCTAAATAGGAAAAGGCCCGCAGTTGATTTTGATATTCTAGGTATTTATCAACTATATTATCAAATGGCCAGAGTTTTGAGATCGCAGTAGACTTGAAGGACTATAATGCGATATGAGCTCGCTCAGGTACTAAGGAGCTAAACCATTCAGGTCTTTATAAGTAATTAGCAAGATTTTAAAATGTATACGATGTTCAATAGGGAACCAGTGCAGAGTAGCTGCTGCATTTTGGACCAGCTGTAGTTTTAAGCGTGCAGAGCAACCACCCAATAAAGCATTACAATAATATAACCTAGAGGTCATGAATGCATGAATTAACATTTCTGCATTTGACATTGAGAACATAGGTCATAATATATAGATATATTTTTAAGATGGAAAAATGCGGTTTTACAAATGGATTTGAACCATGCCAATTCACTTCCACTAATGCCAACATAATTTTGTAGTCTACTCAAAAGAATGTTGTGTTCGATACTAGTGTCAAACACAGCACTAGGATCCGGTAGCACTAATAAAGAAATACAACCACGGTCGGATGATAAAGAGTAGGTCATTTGTAACTCTGATGAGAGCAGTCTCAGAACTATGATACGGTCTAAATCCTGACTGGAAATACTCACAGATATAATTTCTCTCCAAGAAGGAACAAAGCTGAGAGGATACCGCCTTTTCTAGTATTTTTGACAGAAAAGGGAGATTTGAAATCGGTCTGTAATTAACTAATTCTCTAGGATCAAGTTGTGTTTTTTTAATGATAGGCTTAATAACAGCCAGTTGGAAGGATTTTGGGACATATCCTAATGACATTGACAAATTAATAATATTCAGAAGAGGATCTATGACTTCTGGAAGCAAACAAACAATCATAGTCAGAAAATGAGTGAAGTATGGGGAGCACATAGTACGTTACCGCTAATTGGTAGATAAATTGCTTTTATGAAGACTGCTTTTATGATTTAATTTATCCCAATACTTCATACCAGACACTATATAATGTAATATAACATAAATTACATACAGTATATTGTGAGACAGTAATGATGTTTGGCTCTAAAATGTGAACATGAGTGACCCAGCAATCAGATATGATCTATAAACCACCGCCTCAATTTCTCAATGCACAATTGCAGATTTTTCATGTTTCTTCTTCTCTCCTCTTCCTGTATTTTTAGCGTTGTGAGCGCTTGCTGCTGCACGTGTTTTGTCATGAGCTCAGTACAGAGTTTCAAGAGCCTGTTCCTGCATCGGTGAGTTTCCATCAGGCCCACAATATCCTCTTTTCCCATAAATGCAGACATTTCTGATGAAGTGTTCTTAAAGATGTGTAATTGGACCATTGCTCAGTATGAGCGGCAATATTTAATTGCTGCCTCTCTGCAAGGTCATTAACACTATTGCAGTAAAGCTTCTAAAATAGTAACCACTCACATGTGCATCTGTAGTGACTCCAGTCATCTGTTTTCAAACATGCATTGAGCCTCTGGGCCATTTCCTGCTGTTATTTGTCATAGCAGGATTATGATTCTTATGTAATTACATTACTGCAATAATGCATCAGGCTGACGGGTAATAACAATGATTTTGTAATTTCATTGGATTTCGTATTGTATACCCTCTCACTTTGCTCTTTCGAGACTACTTCACTTCTTTCTGTAGAGCATGGCTCTGTTCTAAAACCTAGTGGGCTGTCCTGCTGTCTACATGGGGACCTGCCTTCTAAGGCAGAACAAATGATGTCATTGTTGTCAGATTTTATTACTGATATGAAATATGTTATTTAAATGGCACATCGATAAACAGATTTCTGTCTTTCCTTAGTCATAATATATAGAAGCTGTACTTGCATGAATGGGGTGGGCACTAAGGTGGCCGCCAAATAAAATGACTTTCCTTACAAGGGATACTTGGACAGAACAGGGTTCCTCAAATCTTGCCCTGGAGGGCCAATGTGCTGCAGAGTTTAGCTCCAACCCTGATCAAACTCACCTACCCGTGATTTTCTAATGATCCTGAAGACATTGATTAGCATGCTCGGGTGTGTTTGATTAGGGTTAGAGCTAAACTCTGCAGGAAAGTGGATCTCGTGGGCTAGATTTGAGGATCCCTGCTCTAGAAAATCTAGATATCAGGCAAGGCTCTAAGCATACACAACTAGAGAGTGAAATTTAAAGTTGAGATAGTGAATTGGTGGGTTTTTGTTAAATGTGAGCCAAAATCATCACAATTAAAAGAACCAAAGACTTAAACTACTTCACTCTGTGTGCATTGAATTGATTTAATACACGAGTTTCACAATTTTAGTTGAATTACTGAAATAAATGAACTTTTCCACGACATTCTAATTTATTGAGATGCACCTGTACTCTTGAAATGTTTGTTTTTTTAATCAATCAATTTCCCTTTTGAGCTGAGCAGAGTTATTATTTATATACTGTTATAGTATTAATATTTTTCAATTGGCTTTGATTTTTCAATTTTCATTCTAAATTTAGTTTTGGTAATTTTATAATGTGCTTTTGTCATTATTTGTTTCTATTTGACTTTTATTTTTATTTCTGATTTGGGTTCGTTATTTTAGTACTTTAACTTAATTATAGTTAGTTGCCAAGGTAACATTTCTAATTTGTACTTTTTGTTTTTAATTTAATATTTGTTTTATTTCAGCTTCATTTCAATTATTGAAAATTATTTTTAATAGTTTTAGTAATTTTATCATGTGCTTTTGTCATTTTTTTCATGTTTCTACTTGATTTTTGTTTCAGTTTTAGTTTAGTACTTTTAGTACTTGATCTTGTTTTATTTCCTTATAACTTTCTAGTTTCTAATGTTTAAGTTTTTAATGTAACATTTTATTTTAGCTTCATTTCAATTAATGAAATAAATTTTTTATGACTTTGGTTTTAGCTGGATCAGAGAAAACGGCTTGCTGCAATGCATTATGGGCCTAAACTACAATGCTACCTCTGCTTTTGACTAATACTGATAAACAAAATCATAATAGTGCTTTGTAATTAGGATGCACATACACCTAATACTGCATACCTAAAAATGTTGAGTCAATGTTCAGATTATTTGGTTTTGGAAGATATCCCCATGTTCAACATTATAGTTTTAATGCTGAAGCCTTGATTTCTCTCCAGGTACCCAATTACTATAAAATAATAAAGCATCCGATGGATTTGACGTTGGTCAAACGGAAACTGCAGCGCAAACATCCTCTGCATTACAAGAGCCCTAAAGAGTTTGTGTCCGACGTACGCCTGGTCTTTAGCAATTGTGCCAAATTTAATGAGGTGAGTTCGGGGCATGTCCTTAACCTGTGTGGGGGTGGGATGGGATGTTGCATGTAAGAAATGGGTATTTGGAGAGTATGAAAATACACTAAAGCAACACAGCATGAACATGTGATGGATTGCATGTGTTTACTGCCTCATGGTCACCAGTACTAACTATTAAAAGAATGGTTTCAGTCAAGCTGAGCATTAATCAGCGGCTGGATGTTGAGCTTGTGTTTGTCATAGGGCTAACCCACTTTGTGATGTTTCACGCCGTTGAAGGGATGTTTATTTAATGTTGCACACAGTGTTTTTCTATAATACATTTGATTATTGTTCAGTATTTTTATTTGAACAATAAAAATGACAATCAAATGCATGATAGGCATGTCAGTTTTGCAGTCATTCACTCTTTCTGACATTCATTCAAGACCCCATGAAGCAAACGTGACGATTGAAAGTTTATGTATTTCCTGTTGATAACAGAAGTTTGGGTGGGTTTTTATTTTTGTATTTTTTTTAAATGGCCAACATGCTTTAATTTCATGTTTTGCTAGACACAACAAGGAATGTTCTAAAAAGCGAGTTAGTTTTGTCAGCTTTTTGCACTAGCATCATATTGGTAACTTTAAAGCAAACATACATGGATTAAAAGCCACAAACCTATCATTTCGATTTCATGGGGTCTTTAAAGTGTGTGTGTAAAGTGTACATGTTAAGTGACTGTGAAACTGTAAAATAAAACTAAATGGCTCTGATGCATTCAAACTCGCATCCCATGTACACAACTTATTTGATTTCAGTTTTACGTACCTTAGAAAATGTTATTTTAGTCTCATTGAGATACAATTAGAGTTTTCATTAATATTTTAAATCCATTTTTATTTTTATATTTTAGTTAAAGTTTTAATAATTTTGTCATTTTTAGTAGTTTGTTGTAACGAAAATGGATTTAGTTTGTCAACTATAATAACCCTGCTAAGTTATGTTTGACATCATTTTTTACAATTTAGTTGATTAGGAAATTTTTGAATGTTGTTGCGTGCTATTGACAGCAAATCTCAGTCATGCCAGTAATTTTACATCTGCCATTTTAAATGCAGTGGCAATACATGAATCAAATTAAAGATGTGATCATTAAACGCTGGATATTATAAAGATTTTTCGGCTTCTATTTTACCGAAGGATGTGTACGTCCACTTCAGGTATTTCAGTGGATGGAATTGATCTGTTTGGGTTCATCACGGTGGCCACAGTATGCTTGAAATGTACAAATAGGGTGTTTGTTGTGGGGAAAAATAACAGTAGTCAAATCCTCCAAAACACACGTTAGCACTGCCATTGTGATCATTTCATAGGGTTACTGAAATGTTATTTTCTGTCTGAAGATTACTGTAAAAAGTGATAGACTGTCTTTGCCAAACTTGATGACTGTGTGGCATTCATGTCAAAGAAGCACGTTATAATGAACAATTTTTTAATTTTCTGTAATTTTTCCATCCAATTTATCTCACTTGCATTTAGTTTGGGTCTGTCAGCATTACTGGCACTTTTAGTTTTGTTTTTTAAGGCAAATCCCCGTCTAGTTTTTCTTCATGAATATATAGAGGCCGTTTGCTCATGCCTAACTAAAAGGCATTTATTATGAGCAAACCGAAAATTGTGCTCCTTGGACATTTTTAAATACAGATGAGGCTGTGACCTCACTGTGTGGATGGTATAAAATCTTTCTTCCCCCTTTTCTTTTTTTTTTTTTTTTGTGTGGTTTCGTTGCCCTTTTTAGATGTCTCGAATAATCCAGGTTTATGATGAGGAGAAACAGAGTAATGTTCAGGTAAGATGTTTCGTACACCACACCGAAGGGTTCAGCAGTGCTGGCACCCAAAGCAGCTAAAATGGGAGTTTTAACCCTTTCTGTGCTTCTCTCCTCCTCCTCCTCCTCCTCCTCCTCATCCTCACCCGTTCATCTCTGGGCCTGCATTTCACCTGCTCTCTCCTCGCCTTTCCTCACATTTCCACACTCTTTCCCCTCTCCTCCTTCTCCTAGGCCGACTCGGAAGTGGCACAGGCGGGCAAAGCCGTGAGTCTGCATTTCGAGGAGAAACTGCTGGAGATTTTTCCCGACCAGACGTTCTCGGTAGCCGTGGAGAAGGAGATGCGAGCGGAGGCCGATAAGGATTCAGAGGACTCTGACGATGACTTCGTACAACCGAAACGCAAACACTTAAAAGTGGACACCGAGAAGCTGTTGCACATCAAGTGAAGGAATGAGGAAACGTCTGCGAGAAATAAACGGTCTTCCTCAAGCTCAGTCTTATTTTGCTCTCTGAAGGGTGGGATAACGCTGGAACTGATGCGATTCAGATGCTTCGTTTATTTCATGTTCTCCCAAACCCCTGGCGATCCATTGTACGTACTGCGTGAGAACTTTTAAACGTGCATTGTGGATGTTGGCATCATCGGAGGATCGACAAATGAATTGCTGGGTGTCGATGAAGACGCTTGTACAGATTTAAATAGTCTTGTTTTGGTCTGATTTAGTAAATAACATGTTTTTCCTTTTTTTCTTTCTTAAACTTGAGTTATTATTATATTTGTAAATCTATTGTGAATTATACTTTATAAATGATACTCATCTCTCCCTACTGTTATGATAAAGTTTATCATATATGGCCCACCTGTTTCCTTTGCATGTGTATTTTCTTATTCCTACAGTTGAAATCCCTTCAATAGGGGAAGTTTGATCTTTATTTTCAATAAAACGGTGACCTCTGGATTGTTGGAAAGTTTAATCGTAGACCCTTTAGCTCAAAAGATGCATATTAAATGGGTGTCTGTGCCACCTGACAAAAGCCAATACAAAAATACTTTCAACAAGCATTGCTTATTTCATTCCAATAATGTAAAAACTCCAGTATTGCTAGTGTTACATTTAAAATGGTTACAGCATTAAATAATGTTGAGTAAATGTTCAAATGAAATGTTTTAAAATGCTTCATTTGTATTTTTCTTTCATTTGAAACCAGAAAAGAGCAAAATTTAAACATTTAAAAAGGCAGAGTTATGCAATTATAAAAGCCGAACAGAATTTTTTTTCTTTTAAATAACTGTTGCTGCAAGTGGCATACATTTAGATAAGTCAACTATATAATGAAGGTAGATTTTAACTATAAGGTTTAACCATGTTCCATGTCAAGGGTAAGTGTCAGACTGAGGCAAGTTGTCACACATTTATTTACGTTTCACATTTCATGATTTGATTTTTGGGTGCTTCATAATTGGTTTAATCGGTGCATAATTTCTTAATGACAGGTTTCATTATGGCAGCTTACTTCACAGACATTTTTCCAGAAATACTCAATCTGTGTTCAGTGAATTGTATATCGTTTCCTGGGCAATAGTTTTCGAAAGCTTTTTGTAGTCGAGAGACTTTAGGTTATTTCTGTACAGGTAATAACTTTAAAAATTAACCTACCATGAGAAACATTTACTGGACTAAACAAAACACTAGCCCCGTCCTCCGCTGTATTTTACCATTTTGGCGCCTATACAGTCGTGTAATGACTTAATTTGGCCTCTATACATGTTCTTTTCGGCAGCCTAGAGATTCTAGGAAACCACTTTTTGCGTCACGCCGCACGTCGTGTTTTTGCTGAATGGACATTTGTGAAGTCAGGCGTGATGATCAGCTGATATGAGCGGAGCTGCTGTTTTGAGTCTGAGGAAACGGAGCGTTACTTTGCTTGAGGTAAAGAAAATTCTTCTGATTTTCTCATTTTCATTACACAGGTAATTCTCTGCAAATTTAGCTAATTTTTAAAGTTCTCATGCGGCTCGAAGCTCTGTACTCAACACAGTTAATCAATGGTGTACTGTTTAACAACAACAACAAAAAAACACTAATTCACACCGATATGTGAAAATGAAAGATGTGTTGATCACCATGTAGTGCCTAAACTGCTATGCTGATCCCGACCAAAACAAATAGTGTGAAAGTTCTTATTATATGAAAATATTCAAATATTACATTCATATTCGAGCTTCGCTGTTTCTTTCTTTGATCTGTGGTTGCTAGTGTTGGGTCGTTCTTGAACGATTCGTTCGTTTTGAACGAATCCCAAACCCGAAGACTTGTCAGATAAGAGGTGGTGAGCTAATCATAGACTGAAGACTCAGGTAAACAATGAATTAATCTTTTCTGTTTCTTATAGCAGTTTTGTATTGTTTGTAGTGTGATTTCAATTTCAAGGATGATTTTTATTTCAAGGACCAAGCTAAATCGTTTTTTTTTTTGTACCGGATCTCTTAAATGAACTGTTCAAAAGAACCGATTCGCAAAGCGACCCATCCCTCCCTAGCTAACGAGGCTTCCGGTTTCTTCGCTGATGATGACGTCGCGCCTCAACTATCCAACCACAGCGCTAAACGATGACCTCGTTGTTTTGACGACTTGTTTGTTTGTTTCTTTTCTTCTCTAGGTATCTGCGGACTAAAATAGACATACCGCTACTATTCTACACCAGCAGCTGAAAGCTACATCACAGGTAATGTGCTAAACGTATATGCATGTATTAACGTATTGGTAATGTCTTCTGGCTCCGTAAGTATTTAAACAGCACTGCACTGACCACCAGGAGCACATCTGTTTTCATAAGAATTCCACCTGGGCTGTTTTCAGAAAGCGATAACGTTATGCACATGCAGTGGATTTCATTCCTTATGATTCCTCACTGCTGTTTTTCCAGTGATGTCGGATGGGTTTGTGCTCGGCGGTGGTGGGAACTTCAGCTCTCTCTGCCCGCACGGGATCGAGTGGATCTGGTATGGACTGGGTGAATGTGCCCAGGATGGCAGAGACATCGCCAGTGTTGTTCTCGGACTTCTGTCGATAGTTTGCTTCATGGTGTCTTCACTGCCGTAAGTAGGCCAACTCTTATGCTGTTGCACTGTGAATGGCTTAGTTTTGTCATAATGGATATAAAATTCATTCAGGCACAGCAAGAATTTTGAACACTTCTAGATAAACTTTCAAGAGTTTGGGAACAGTAAGATTTTTATTTAATTTTTTAAATGAAAGTAATACTTTTATTCATCAATGATGCATTAAAATGGTCAAAAGTGACAGTAAACACAATAATGTTGTTTTTAAAAAAAATCTATTTTAAATAAATTCTGTTCTATTCATCAGATAATTCTGAAAAATGTATCACAGATTCCACAAAAAATATTAAGCAGCACAACTGTTTTCAACGTTGATAATCATAAGAAATGTTATTAGTTAAACCCTCATCCGTCCCTCGGGTCATTTTGACCCAAAACTAATTTTTTTACTTTTGTCACACTTGAACCGGGAATACATGGAAAAAAAATTCGAGTGAATTCGAGCAGTTTAAGTGGGTGCCATAAAAAAAGTAACAAAAGTGTCCCTCGCAGGTCATTTTGACCCGGCCATAGGAATGAATGGAATGTCCGGAAAAAAACAGCATTTTTTTTATTTTTTTGTTATTTTTTACTATATAAAATCTGACACAATCCAGAAAAGATGCATATCATATTTATATTTTTAAATGTATCTATTACATATATTACATATTTATGAAACTGTATGAATATGCATGTGTTTGGATTAAAATTCAGTATCAATTTTTTTTTACAAAATATATATATTTTTAATGTTTTGATATATATCTGAAAGCCTTGAGAAATATCTGAAAGCTTAATGACACTTTTGTTATAGGTTCGGGAGGGATGGATGAGGGTTTAATAGTATTTCTCAAGGATCATGTGACACTGAAGACTGGAGCAATGGCTGCTGAAAATTCAGTTTTGCCATCACAGGAATAAATTATTGTAATATATATTAATATTTAAAAAACTTATTTTAAATTGTAATAATATTTTGCAGTATTGCTATTTTTATTGTATTTTTGATCAAATAAATGCAGACTTGGTGAGCATTAGAGACAAATTTTAACACATTTTTAAAAATCTTACTGGCCTCCAAACTTTTGAACAGTAGTTTATATATGTAAGGTGACATATTTTGCATATTTTTGAGAAATAATGAGCTCATACTGACTGTTACTGTAGGCAATACTACAGTTCCTGCAAGACAGGAAATATGGACAGCGCTCTGTCTATTTGGTTCCTGTTATTTTGGCTGGCCGGTGACTCGTGCAATCTTATTGGATCGTTCTTGGCTGATCAACTTCCACTACAAGTAATGAACCATTGTCACATTCTTTATTGATCACTTTTGATAAAATATCTGCTCAATGAATGAAAACCATGAACCATTAAAACAATTGATTTTTAAATTGAATGATCCTAGTTTTGCTATAGTTTGAACTGAGGCCTGATTTTATTACTATTTTATTATTTGTTATTATTTTATATTCATTACCCTCGTTTCTCCTTTAGAAATACACTGCAGTGTACTACATCCTGGCAGACCTGTTAATGCTGTCAATGTACTATTACTATAAACTAAAGCATAGGGCATCTAGGGGTGAGTTGGAAATCATACTTCATTAGTGACTTAAATGTGTCATAAGTTTAGGCTCTGTGTAATTGGTTGCTTTCAAGACATATCTTGCATTCATCTGTTTTGGAAACATGTCTCCAGGAAATTTAAATTTATAATATTAAAATACAAAATAAAATTAAAAATAAATACAAAATATGAATAAATACTATAACAGTATATAAATAATTTATTTATATACTATTATAGTATTTATTCATATTTTGTATTTAATTTTTATTTTGATATTTTCATTTTTTATTTTTTTAAGTTTAGGTTTTATATTTCTATATAGCTTTAAATTATCTTTCATTTGTTTTAGTTTTAATAATTTTAGTAATTAAACTTATTTCAGTTAGTTGCAACATTTCTAATTTTCATTTGATTTTCACTGAAGTTTCATTAGTTTCTAATATTTATATTTTATTTCATATTTATTTAAATTCCCGAAAACCATTTTGAATGGTTTTATTACCAGTTTTAGTCCCATCACTGCCCTACATTACTGTATATTCCTCCCTGACCTTCAGCTTTCACAGTGTATAAGAATGTGCTGATGCCTGAAATGCTAATTCATGGAACTGTCTTTCTCCTCTGTAGCCAGTAACAGTGCATTGCTGAATGCGGTCAGCATGTTATGTCTTCTGGGAATTACATCTTCCCTCATTAGTCTCCCTCGCTCAGCTTTAGAGGATCAGATGCCTATGAGGTTCAAGGCTCGGGCGCTGCTGGCCGTGGAGGAGGACAGCGGTTCGGTGCAGGTGAGTTGAGTTGCACTTCATTCATTTACATGGTTTCAGAATTGATTTGAGGTGATGTTTTCATGTTTTTCAGCCCTTCGATACAAAGGAGATTATAGGCTTTGTCATCGGCTCTATATCTTCAGTACTGTATTTATGCTCCAGACTGCCACAGATGTACACTAATGTAAGTCTTACTGCATGTATGTGCTGATGAATTTCACTAATATATCAAGAACATGTTCAGGTAATATGTCATCCCAAAATTTAAAAGAACGTCATTTTAATTTATTTATATATATATATGTATTAGTTAATAATTAAAGAATGCATTTTTATTTTACATTATATTGCTTTTTCTTTTGCAATGTATTATGCAAATGATGTGTTTTCTAGATTTATTTCTAATATTTGCAACAGTATTTCTCATTGTTTAGACATTACATCTCACAAATGAGAGGAGCAAAATCTACTCTTGATTGCACTGCCTTTAAATTATGCTCATTAAAATTATTGTATGACAGTAATGAAAATCAACTTCGGGAATAATGGAAACGTCTGGAAGCATTATAAAAATGAATTTAGAGATGATTTGTGGTTAAATGTCATTAAAATAATGTCTCTATGCAAAAAATCTTAAAGGAATTTTTCTCCCAGTAGTGAAAATTGGCTGAAAATGTACTCAACCTCAGGACATCCAATATGCAGATGAGTTTGTTTCTTCATCAGAACAGATTTGCTCACTAATGGATCCTCTTCAGTGAACGGGTGCCGTCAGAATGAGAGTCCAAACAACTGATAACAGCTACATCACAATAATCCACACAACTCCAGTCCGTCAATTAATGTCTTGTGAAGTGAACATTTTTGTATGAAACAAATCCATCATTAAGGTATTTTAACCTTAAACTGTCTCTTTTGGCCAGAATGAGTCCAAAAAACTCTTCCTCCAGTGAAAAAGTTCATCTCCTGTTGTCCTCTCACATCAAAATCCACCAACATAACTGTTTAGAACTGTTGTTCTTGTAAACGGTACCTGATCTGTGCATATTTCTCTCCTGATTCAGACTAGATGACTTTTTCACCAGAGAATATTATGAATAGAGGACTCACATTTTAGCTAGAAACAACGGTTTAGAGTTAAAAATGTCATGATGGATTTGTTTATTACAAACACACAGGTCTTTGGTTAATTGATGGACTGGAGTTGAGTGGATTATTGTGATGTAGCTGTTTGGACTCTCATTCTGACGGCACCCATTCACTGCAGGGGATCCATTGGTGAGCAAGTGATGAAATGGCAAATTTCTCCAAATCTGTTCCCATGAAGAAACACTCTGGATGGCTTGAGCGTGAGTACATTTTCAGCAATTTTCACTATTCCTTTAAAGCCCCTAAAAGTCTTTATTTTGTTAATGCAAAATATAATTTCTTATTTATTTGAATGACTTCTACATGTTTAATGTGAATGTTGCATCATTCTTTATTGCTTTGGACACTATAATCATTGCAGACATCTGTAGTGTCATAGCAGTGACTGACTTCAGTTATTATTCATACATTTGCATGCTACATATGCATGTAGCACTTAGTTAAAGATGTACAGATATTGCTTTTTAGTGAAGTTAAAATATTTCTTGCAGTTTCAGAGGAAGTCAACAGAGGGCGTGTCTTTTTTCCTGTTTGCTCTTGTGATTCTGGGAAACACAACATATGGCATCAGTGTGCTAGTGAAGAACCCAGATCCAGGGCAGGGAGAGGCCAGCTATATCATACACCACCTCCCCTGGCTCATCGGCAGCCTGGGAACGCTCTCCCTTGACCTTATAGTATCCTTTAAAGCCACATTTTAAACACTGAGCTGTGTGAGTGGGGTCACTGATTCCCAACACAGTCCTCATGGACCTATAGATGTGAAATGTCTGGGCGCGTATTGTAAATGAGAATTTGGAGGAGAAAACATGCTCATGAAATTGTCATGAAAATAATTCCATACCAAAATTCGTAATGGACCTAAAACAGGCTTTCTTGTAAACATAATATTATTTTAATAATGTAGCCACAAAAATGTGTTACTTAATAATGAATAAACGTTTTTGTTAATGAAAACACGACACACTAGGATTATTATAGTTAACTAAAAAAAAAAAAAAAAAACATTTTCAGTACTTTAAATAAAATAAACGTTAACAGAAATAAAATATACAAAAACTTAAACTTATTTTATTTTGGCAAGTTGTAAAGGAAACATTTGTTTTTCATTTCTATGTAGTTTAACCTGATTAAACTGAAAAAAAATTTTTTAATAAAAACTGTTTAAAAAAAGTAAACAAAAAAGGTTTTTTGAACATTAAAGCATGTCAACATATTCTGTTACACCAAATACACAAAATAATGATCTTTAAAAAAGCATCATATGACCCCTTTAAAGTTAAAATGAAAACTAATTCAAATTATTTATCAGTGAGGCTAAAATAACAACACACTGCTCTGAACTGTAAGGTGTCCCCAATACAATGTTTAACTGTGTTGGTGCTAAATTACATTGATTAATTGACACGGTTTGTTTTGAAAACATGGAGTCAAAGGTCACATGATTAATGTTATGGACAATATTGCATACATGTGTGAGTCATTGTGTGTTTGACCTTCTGGATCACTTGAGGTCACATATATTGACGAAACTGATTGTTGCCATAGCAACCGGCTGTGTGTGTTACATCACTGAGGTCATATGACTTCCTTTCATGTGAAGCTCATTTGTCAGAATCCCATGAGCACTGAGCCTGGTTTCAATTCATTCAGAACAGTCTGAAAATATTTCAGCTTTTTGCCTTAACACTTTTCTTTAGATATCCGTGCAGTTCATGGTGTACAGCAAATCACCTGGGGATTCTGCAGATGGAGATGGAGATGAAGAGACGGCTGCGCTTCTCCATAACTGAACAATTCCCATTCCTGCTGTGACTGGATGAAATGCTGGAGATGTTTTTTGAGCTTCACATTTCCACAGCCACAGCTGAGAGACAAGAATCACAATTTTTTTTCTAATAGTTTTAGCTAGATTTTATATCAATAGGTTTTATACCTAGCAGTGTCAGTGGTTAAACGTATTTTTTTTCTGATTGGGAATAGTTCACTTTCTTAAGCGGTTCAATATTTGGCATCAAAAGGGAATTATTGAAACACTTTTGTAATGTTTGTACTGTACTTCAGAATTCAGTTTTTTTTTGTTTTTTTTTTACAACTAATACAATCATGTTCATACAATTCATACAACAATTTTTCTTTTATACAGTGGAATGAACGCTGCCTTCGGAGATCTAGCAGTCTTGGCCTTCAATCTGTGTACTATAATGATGTTAATAGGCTGTTTTTGTGCAATCTCTTGTCGAAAAATGTTTTGGTATTGTAAAGATGTTTTTAATTTTTATATTGTGGCCTTTGAGTTGATTTAGCACTGCACCTGTCAGTCAGTTTGTACCTTCATTGAAGTTCTTATTTTAAAGTCTTTTTTGACTTGTTTTTTCTTTCTTTCTTTTTTGTTCTGTATCACAGCACAACACTCACTAAAGATTTTAGTTTTTCTGAGGCAAAACATGCTTGAACTGTTTCTTTTTTTGGTGTGGACAATCAACTGGTTTACATCCCCTTCATATTCATCTTTCCAAGCAAATCATCAACATGAAATTGCTTTTGCCACTCATTTTGCTTCTGTAATGTCATGAATGAAAAGAAAATGAATGATGGAACAGTATTATCTATCAGAAATGGATTGGATCGTGAAAATTGGAAGAATGAGAGGTAAATTTGAGTATCGGCACATTGCCAGTACCCATATTTGAGGAAGCTTTTTGACTTGGAGCTCATCTGCTGGCGCATCTTCACGTATCTCAATGGTGATGCTTGTTTCAAATCTATTATTTGCTATTGAAGGGTACATTTTGATTTTATAATAATTCAACAATTCCCTTTCCAAAAGTTTATAGTTATTAAAACTTGTCATTTTTACTTTTGTTCTCAGCACAGGAGCTTTCAATGGTGTTTGCTATAAATGTAGGCTCTGTGCCAAAACCTGGTGGGTTGCCTTTGCTGCCGGCTCCCTACATACAGTATGGAAATGAAATGGATCTCCATCAGTATTATTTAAAAACTGTTTTAGTATTAATATTTTGAATGAAATAAGTCTGTTTTGGTAATTTTATGTGTTTGTCACTTTTATCATTAAAAAAAAAATTCTATTTAGCTGTAATTTCTTTTTATTGTTTTATAGGTTTAGTAATTTTAGTAACTATTTTATTTCAGTTAGTTGCCAACTTTAATTTTTTAAAGTTAACACTTTCTAATATTTAGATTTTAGCCTTCAGTTACTAAAAACATTTTAATAATTTTAGTTAAAGGTGGGGTAAGCTATTTCTGGTAGCCAATGTCGACATTTGAAATCACCAAAATAAACACGCCCCTACCCCAAAAGGGTCTCACCCCTATTTTGATAGCTCCGCCCACACATACGTACGCAACCCAGGCAACGATTAGTTCTGTGAAACAAAGCAAAACCAATGTTACACCGTGTCTACATCGGACGCGTGGGGCGCAGCGCGACAAAATACTATAGAACTCATTATAATCAGCGATGCTGTCCACACCATAGATATATATATATAGCTACATATCTATGGTCTACACTGGATGCGGCACGACACGACAAATCCCCGACAGAAAACTGCTGCTGCGTTCTATTTATGACGTATTGACACAAATTTCAAATGATTTTCAGCGGTCGCGTCCAGTGTACTAGACAGACTTTAGCTGTTCAGACACGCCCCTTACTGCTGATTGGCTATAAGTTTGTTTTGCTAGTTGGCCCGAATCAGTTTTCTAAAACGTTTTTGAAAAACCGCTTACACCACCTTTAACAAAAAAAGAACATTGATCTCCATAAGGAGCAATTCTGTGTCATATCAATAGTGTTCTTTTATATATATATATATAAAAAAAAAAATACAGACAAATGCGTAAAATTTGTTTGCCAACTTAGATGTTTTTTTTTTCCAAAGAGCTCGCAGTGCATTATGGGATTGCCTTCTTAGAGATATGTGCAATGCTGCCTTTGAATTTGGCCAAAAGAAGCTTTTTCTTCTAAAGCTGTGCAATTGTGCTGCCTACCTTTCTGAACAACCTTTTGTGCTACTGCTACCTTATAATATTGCCTATATAGTCAGCTCACTAGGTTCCAAAACAGCACCTTTTTGAATCTCTTGAACACATACTTTTTGTTTCAGGAAGAACCTTGTCTCCCTGTTCTACTCCATGGTTCATATCAGCAGCCCTGATATTCCTGGAAAAACACATCCATGTTGTTTTTCCTCATTATAACAGTCGCTGTCATTAGCATCCTGTGAGTTAAGAGCATAAGGGTGGGATCTGCAACCCTCAGAATGTCCCCTCTGCCCCCAGCGAAGGACATGAAGGGCCCACCCATGGAGCAGAAGAGGAGTTGGGGTCTCTGTGCGTGTGTGTGAGAGAGCGAGAGAGACAGATAAGGGGGTCTTGAGTTGCGTGCCTCCAGCTGAATTGTGTAGTGACACGTGGGAGTGTGTCGGGGTGGTTGTGAAACCCTGGCTGAGCATGTTCGTTCTCTGAGGAGCGGCAGAAGAAGAATGGAGAGATAGCGTGTGCTCATCCATCAGTTAGATGAACTAGGGCTGTTTATAAACACTGGGCTGCTGGGAATGTTCTAATGAGCCCACTCATTCGCATAGTGTGCATCCAGAAATCAGTAATTATATTTGATTTAAACAACTCCTCATTCCCATCACGGCCCTCTCTGATTGTGTTCAACAGGTCCAAACCGTTAAATATCTATTCAGAACTTTTTCTGCCAACAGTGAAGTTGATCTTGAAAGCTGGACAGGACGACGTTAAAGTGTCTTTTTTTGATGTATTATCGACTTTCCGTGCCCCTGTGTTTAAACTCGCACACGTACTGGTATGTGTTTGAATTAACGGTTTGTGTTGGAGGGAAGTGCTGTTTGTTTTGCGCATGTGTGTTCCAGTGTGTGTTTGGCAAGTGTTGGACGTCAGGGGCTGAACTGCTGTCAACATCACAAATGCAAGAGGCATATCAAGCTGAGATCCAGCACACGCAACATCAGAGCTGGTGAGTACACAATCTATTTTTACTAGAGACTGTCAGCACTACCAGCGTTTTAGTAAATTCTTACAATATCAAATATCAATTCTTGCATATGAATTTGAAAAAATTGAATGTTTTTTTTTTTTTTTATGGATGATTTGGAATGCATTGTAAAGAAAAAGCAGCCAATAAGTGTCCAGCATACATGAAGTCTGCTTTGTTTAAAAAGCATCCCAGGATGCACCTCATAAAGTTGGTTCCGTACAAGAAAGAAATTAAAATATAAGAGACTTTTCATTTGCTATGTGAGTTATAATCACACACTTATTGTGTTATTTCATACTGTTGATAAATGTATATATTTTTTTAAATGTGGAAAATAATACATGCATATATAAATATATATATATAGATATATATAATTTTTAGATGCACTACAATTACAATACTTGTGTTTGGTAAGATTTTTATTTATTTTTTCTAATGATTTTGAAAGTACTTCTTATGCTAACCAGTGCTGTATTTATCTGATCAAAAATATAGTAAAAATAGTATTTAAAATCACTGTTTTCTATAGCGAAGGACATGAAGGGCCCACCCATGGAGCAGAAGAGGAGTTGGGGTCTCTGTGCGTGTGTGTGAGAGAGCGAGAGAGACAGATAAGGGGGTCTTGAGTTGCGTGCCTCCAGCTGAATTGTGTAGTGACACGTGGGAGTGTGTCGGGGTGGTTGTGAAACCCTGGCTGAGCATGTTCGTTCTCTGAGGAGCGGCAGAAGAAGAATGGAGAGATAGCGTGTGCTCATCCATCAGTTAGATGAACTAGGGCTGTTTATAAACACTGGGCTGCTGGGAATGTTCTAATGAGCCCACTCATTCGCATAGTGTGCATCCAGAAATCAGTAATTATATTTGATTTAAACAACTCCTCATTCCCATCACGGCCCTCTCTGATTGTGTTCAACAGGTCCAAACCGTTAAATATCTATTCAGAACTTTTTCTGCCAACAGTGAAGTTGATCTTGAAAGCTGGACAGGACGACGTTAAAGTGTCTTTTTTTGATGTATTATCGACTTTCCGTGCCCCTGTGTTTAAACTCGCACACGTACTGGTATGTGTTTGAATTAACGGTTTGTGTTGGAGGGAAGTGCTGTTTGTTTTGCGCATGTGTGTTCCAGTGTGTGTTTGGCAAGTGTTGGACGTCAGGGGCTGAACTGCTGTCAACATCACAAATGCAAGAGGCATATCAAGCTGAGATCCAGCACACGCAACATCAGAGCTGGTGAGTACACAATCTATTTTTACTAGAGACTGTCAGCACTACCAGCGTTTTAGTAAATTCTTACAATATCAAATATCAATTCTTGCATATGAATTTGAAAAAATTGAATGTTTTTTTTTTTTTTTATGGATGATTTGGAATGCATTGTAAAGAAAAAGCAGCCAATAAGTGTCCAGCATACATGAAGTCTGCTTTGTTTAAAAAGCATCCCAGGATGCACCTCATAAAGTTGGTTCCGTACAAGAAAGAAATTAAAATATAAGAGACTTTTCATTTGCTATGTGAGTTATAATCACACACTTATTGTGTTATTTCATACTGTTGATAAATGTATATATTTTTTTAAATGTGGAAAATAATACATGCATATATAAATATATATATATAGATATATATAATTTTTAGATGCACTACAATTACAATACTTGTGTTTGGTAAGATTTTTATTTATTTTTTCTAATGATTTTGAAAGTACTTCTTATGCTAACCAGTGCTGTATTTATCTGATCAAAAATATAGTAAAAATAGTATTTAAAATCACTGTTTTCTATTTTAATCTATTTTAAAATGTAATTTATTTCTGTGATGCAAAGCTGAATTTTCAGTATCATTACTGCAGTCTTCAGTGTCACATGATCCTTCAGAAATCATTCTAATATGCTGATTTGCTACTCAAGAAACATTTTTTATTATTATCATTATCAATGTTGAAAACAGTTTAATATTTTTATGGAAATAGTGATGCATTTTTTAATGCATGTTTTCTCATATCAACTCTAACCCTAATCTTTAATGAACAGAAATTCAAAAGAACAGCATTTATTAGAATTAGAAATCTGTTGCAACTTTAATTAAAGGATTTACTGTCTCCTTTAATTGATTTAATACAAAAAAATATATATTTTAGAAAAAAGTGTTTTTAAAATTGTAGACATAACACTGTGCTTAAAATATCTCTCTAAGCAAGAAAGATATTTTATTGAGTTAAACAAATTTTCATGAATGTCTTGACATTTTGTGAATCAGTTTAAACCTTTCCAAGTTCCTTTGTTAAGCAGCAGTTCTGCCATTTTTGGGTATATTTTAAAGTCTCCTTCCTGTGAACATAACAGCTCTGTTTCCCAATATTCCAAATCAGAATAAACAGACAACTTAAGAATGTTTAAAATGTTGGCGTTTGTC